GCAATCTAGGAGTTAGCTTAAGGTTTTTTTTCTCTTATTTTTTTTTTTGTCTTTATTGAGACAGGGTCTTCCTATAGTCCCAGTTGGCCTGGAACCCAACAGGTATTTGTCTGCCTTTGCCTCCCAAGTCCTGGGATTAAAGATGTGCACCACCACGCCAAGCCTATTTTCTCTAATTTAATGTATTTTATATATTATATATATATACATATGTATGTATGTATATAATATTCAGTAACACTGCTTCATTCATTGTGCTGTGTAAATTTTTTTCATTTTCCTTTGTTGTTTCATTTTGTTTTCTAAGACAGAGGATAGAGGCTAAGTAGCTCAATTTGGCCTCAAACTCAGGATCCTTCTGCTTCCACATGTAAGTGCTGGGATCAGAAGCATGTGTTTCATTTCTTCCATGTTTCAGTATCTCTGAAACTAGTGTCATCAGTATAGGCAGCATGTCAGAGTTCAGCACTTTAAAAATATATTTTATTTTACTTTTTTTTATGTGTATGAATGTCTTGCCTGCATGTGTGTGTCTGCATGTATGTAAGGGCACCCATGTCATGCAATGCATGGGAAGTCAGGAGAAGGCATTGGATCCCTTGGAACTGGAGTAAGACAGTTGTTAGTTACAATGTGGGTGCTGGAAATCGAACCCAGGTCCTCTGCAAACACAGTCAATGCTCTTAACTGCTGAGCCATCTCTCGAGCCCCAAGTTCAGCGTCTTTTTTTTCCTTAGTTTATGTGTGGTAATATTATACTTTACGACTGACATCTTCTCAGTGCTATGAAAAAGTCATTTTCTGTGAACAGTAAATTACTACATATTCCCTTTTCCCACCTCTACCTTTGGCCCAAGAAAAGAAACTTAACAAAAAAAAATGAGTGCTATTTGGAATATACTGACAGCAGCATTACTCTTCTCGAAGATTTCATGGGCCAGTAACTTCAAAGGACCACAGTACACTCCAGACTTTGCTGACAAGTATCCCTGGATTGCATGGTAAGTCTTCCCACTGTTTGTGGGGCCTGAATGGAATATTATCTTCCGTTGCATGGCTCTGGCTTCTGGGTACCTAAAACATGAGCAGATAAACAGCTTAATCCCATTAATTTCAAAATCAATCCTAGCCAACATTATTTGAAAAAACTTCCAAACGAACCATTCTTTGGCATTCACATGATAAGTCTTTGAAAAATGCAACAAAAGGATTCACAGCTACATTAAAACAACTGGTTTCCAAGACCTGCATTTACTAGAAGACAGAACACCCCAAACACAACTGAATATCTAAGATATATTCCCCCTTCTACAAATCTCAAGAGTTACTGAGTTTAAGTAGTATCCATTCCATAGACATATTTATGTGATTCCCACAGCTCTGAACATAAGATCCAAAAGCAAATATTCACAGGCTTCCCTTCAGTATTTGCAAATTTAATAACTGAGCTTTCTGCTTCTGGCCACAGTGGACTAACTGGTGTCTAGTAGATGTACCCTACCACCACATGCAAATACAAAGTGGGCTACTCTTTGGAGCAACAGGCAGCTCATGACCAGACCCTGAAGAAAGGAACACTGGAGCCTATCACACCCAGCAGAACATGCAGAGGTGGAGCTGGGCAGAGTAACAACAGTCCTCTGAACAAGCAGCAGAGATCACACTGAGAGCTGAAACAGCTGCATTTTTTTTTTTTTTTTTTTTTGAGACAGGGTCTCATGTAGCCCAGGGTCACCTCAAACTCTGTAGGTGGGAATGACTTTAACCCCAATCCTCTGGCCTCTGCCTCCCAGATGCTGGGATTGGTATAGGTATGTGCCACCATGCCCGGTTTTATGTGGTGCTTAGGATCAAGCCCATGGCTTTTGTGCCTGTTAGGCGAGTACTCTACCAACTGTGCTATAAATGGAATTGAACTACTCTGAATTGAAGCACCTAGAATTTGAAGGACAGAACATGCAAGAGCAGAAAGGGTGTGGGGGGGTGCTGAATTCTTGGGGGTGGATGTTTCTGTGGGTTTTTGGCCAAGGGTTGGGCTAGAGACATAAGGTGAGAACTGGCAGGTCTGGAGGAGAGCATCCTAACAAAGGCTTGAGCAAATCACCTCAAAGCTCACAAGGCTTCCAGTGCTAAGAGACTGCAATTCAAGCATGAGGAAAGAACTGGTTAGTATCTACCCATTCGGCAGAGACACCAGGAGGCCCACAGCTTAGGACAGCACCATAAATCAAGGCTTCTTGAGAAACCTGCCTTTAAAAAACCCTCAGTCCAAGATTAAACACAATCAAGGGCACAGTCCTTGTTTTTTTCCCCCAAAGAAAACAGTTTGTTATCTAGATATAATACACACACATATATACATGTACATATATACATATTTGTGTATATATATATATGTGTGTATATATATATATATATAAAACCATTAGTGTCCCCAGATTAGGAAATTTCACATCTGTAAATAAAGGAACTAACCAATTAGGTGGTATTCTCAAGTCACTGATTTTACGTAGATCATCTTTGCATTCCAATACAGGAAATATTTGTTTGGCATGTCTCAAGAAAAATGGAAATAAGTCATCCACATGAGCTGGGAAATAAAACAGTACATAACATGTTACCCAAAAACTGAGTTCAATAAACTTTTTTTTTGAGACAGAATCTCCTGGTAAACCAGGCAGGCCTAAAACTCCTCCTTACCTTGAACTCCCAAGTGCTCTAAAAACTTATATTTTTTTTTTTGGTCTTTTTGAGACAGGGTCTCCCTGTAGCCCCAGCTGGCCTGGATTCGCTATGGAGACCAGGCTGGCCTCGAAACACAGAGATCCGCCTGCCTCTGCCTCCCAAGTGCTGGGATTAAATAGGCATGCACCACCACTCCTGGCCAAAACATTTTTTTTTTTTTTTTTAAGTGAGGTAAGTTAGGAGGACAGTGCCAAGATTTTAAAAAGAAAAAAAAGTCCTGAAGCAAGAGACTTCTTTTTCTGAGATCCTGTTTATATTCTTTTCTCCTCCAAATTTTACTCAGATTTCTGACAAAACAAAAAACTGGCTGCCAACTACCACACTCTTAGCCTCCAGTGCAATCAGGCAAAGATTAACACAGGTGAAAGTAAAATTAAAAATGTGGAGAGATACAAACTTCTTTCCTTTTTGTAAAAGTTCTTGGAGGGGAGGAGTTTTGGGGATTGAACAACTAAGCCCATGCATAACACCTGGCTATACCACCCCCCGCCGCTCAGTGTGAACATTGTTTTAAACCTCCAAGACCACAGAAAAGGAGTGAAGTGAGGATGGAGCTTCCAGCTCTGGTTTGTATCAGGTTCTCTCGGTGTCTGGCACAGGGCAAAGGTCTAAGAGCCGGACACAATTAACCTTGTAACTAAAACCATGAGTCCCATGAAAAGAAATGATGATGCTCTGATTCTGTTTTACTTTTGAATTTATGAGACAGGGTCTCACTCTGTAGCCCAGGTGACCTAGAACTCAGAGCAACCCTACTGCCTTAGCCTCCTGAGGGCTGGGATTAAGTGAGTCACCATGCTCAGTAAAAACTTTATGCTAATATGAAGGAGAAAGAAGCCAATGGTGGAAACAGATGGAAGAGCTAGGCACTGATTTATCCTACCCGAGAGCTCCCCTCACTGCAGCCATCTATGCTAACACACAACAGAAAGCAGGGGACGATGGACTGAGGACCCAGTCTATGCAAAACTTACTAACTAGCTGAAGGACCCAATGTAAATGCTCAGTAAGAAGTACTGACAGCAATGACTTATTTACAGAGGAAGTAGCCAGGACCAGTCTAAAACAAAAAAGCCCTTTTAGGGAAACAAGCATTGATCATAGTAAGAACCAGAACACATCAATAAGATGCTTAGAATTCTTAGGGCTGGGGCTGGAGAGTGGCTAAGAACACTGGTTGTTCTCGCAGAACACCTGGGTTCAAATCTCAGCACCCACATGGCAGCTAACAACTGTCTATAACTCCAGTCCCAGGGGATCTGACAAACTCTTCTGACCTCAGTGGGCATTGCACGACAGACACGGGCACACTTACCTACGTGTAGGCAATACACGCATCCACATAAAATAAAAATAAAATTAAAAAAAAAAAAACTAAAAAAAAAAATTTCTTAGGGCTGGACAGAGGGCTCAGTGGGCAAGGCTCGCTGTGAAAGCAAGAGAACCCAAATTTGAACCCCAGCATGCACCTAAAAAGGTGGGCATGGCTACCAGCACAGCTTTAACCCCAGCACTGGGCAGGGAGATGCAGGGAGACAGGAGGATTTCTGGGGTTTGCTGACAGCAAGTCTAGCTCCAGGTTCATTGACAGCCTGTGTCTCAAAAGAATAAGGCAGAGTGATGGAGCAGGACATTGATGTCCTCCTTTGGCCTCTACATGCACACATAGATGCACATACACCACATGCACAAATGATTCTTTAAAAAGTCCTTTAAGTGGGCTGGTGAGATGGCTCAGAGAATAAAATGCTGCCACATAAGGCTGACAACCTGAGTTCAATCCCCAGACCTCGCAGTAAAAGGAGAGAATAGACCCCTAGAAGTTGTCCTCTGACCTCCACATAAGTGTCATGGCACCCACATACCCACACCCATCACCCCCCCAAACCTCCCCACACACTTTTTAAAAATTCTCCAAGCACTTGCCTGCACTGAAGCAAATGTCATTCAAAACAATATGAATGTCCACATCCAGTGAATGAGACTGCATAATATAATTTCTAAAACTTATGAAAGCTTGGTGGAAGAGACGAGCTGTGGAAAACACAAGATCAAAACATATAAGGCTTGGTTTTCATTTCAGCCTTTATTTTAAAAACACATATACACACCACACCAAACTGAAATGCAAAGTGTCTATTAACGTTTTGGTAGAAGAGCTGGTTACTTACAAACAGGGCTAAAACTGAAACCTCGGCATGACTCTAAGGCAGATTGAACATACAGTACCACTGCTGTACAGTTTGACTTGCCAGGAGTGTTTGCCAGTCCCCTGGCCAGGCAAAAGGTAAGGTGAAGGACTTACCCACAGACCAGAGCTTCGTGCTTGTTTCTAGGCCACATAAGGTCCCACACAAAACCAACAATGCCACGACTATGTAAAGATATTGCTGGCCTTGACTATGTAAAGATATTACTGGCCTTACCATCAAGTCCATAGTCGGCACTCAACTTCTGAATCTCTTGCCTCTTATAAAACTTGTCTAAGATCTTCTTTACTTCATCTAAAAGAGAGAGATAAAAGTTTAATGTTTGTAGCCGGGTGTGGTGGCACACGCCTTTAATCCCAGCACTCGGGAGGCAGAGGCAGGCAGATCTCTGTGAGTTCAAGGCCAGCCTGGTCTACATAGTGTTTCCAGGACAGTTGGGGCTACAGGGAGACCCTGTCTCAGAAAGACCAAAAAAAAAAAAAAAAGTTTAATGTTTGTTTCCAAGTTTAGATAAGCATCCAAAAAGCAAAAGAAATCTGAAGCCCTAACACTAAAGACAGCAGTCTCATGAATACTGCCAGCCATTTCTCCAGCCCCATTTAAAGTAAACTTTACTTTGAAATAAATTGCTCCAGGATGGCCTTGAACTTGCCACCTTCCTGTCTCAGATTCTGGAAGATGTAGTATCTTAAAATGACAATAGGAAAAACCAACCTTGCCTGGTGAAGTGAGCTGCCTGAAGGCAGTTCCTGGATGACTGGTGGCTAGCAGAGCTGTGGCAGTCCCTCGATCTCAATGACTGTTATTTGGTCAGGGAAAACCTTTCATTCTAAGGAAAGGGCAGTGTATCATCTGAAGCCCCCTCCCCTTGAAAACATTTACACGTCTGTCAAATTCACCCAAAGCTAGTTTGGGGGACGAAAGCCACTGCACTGCCACCCACTGATGCTAAACTTTTCCTTCCTCTCTGGAACCAGGGATGATGAGGACACCTTCACCTACTTGTACCTAGTATTTACATATGGATCTGCCACGGGAGAGAGTAAATTTCTTGAGAAATCAGGATCTGAGACTCGTTGTCTTGGCAACCACCCTGAAGCCAAACACTGTTTAGGCTTGCGTCCTCGCCCAGTCAATGCCAAAGAATCCTGAAAGCAATTCTCGCCCGGCTTTTTACTGGTGCCCTCTGAGGACCCCAGGGAGGATCAACGAAGGATGCTAGTATGTAGTGGACCACTTAAAGACACAATACTTTTCCAATCGTCCCAACACAAGGGTCTAAGCATTCGGCGAGGAGGGACTGGAAGGAGCATTGCCCCTATGGAGGGGGTTAAGACTGAGTAGGACGCTATGGCTCCTGCGCACGCTGCAGCGCCCCGGGCCCCACACCCTCTCGCTCCCCGCTGCCCCCACACTCACTCTTATCCAGAGGCCGCGTGAGCTCGGCGCCGACATCACCATCGGCGCTGGGGCCCTGAGGTTTGACAGGCAGGGGCACGAACAAGGATGTGTTCGGGGCTTTGGAGCCACCCGAGGAAGAGGAGTAGGAGGAGGCGGCGGCGACTAGGGCGGGAACGCGCCCCCGAGCCCCAGGCAAGGGCCCAACGTGGGCGCGAAGGGCGGAGCAGGCTGCTGCCCGGGGCCCAGCCCGGCGTCCAGCCGGGAGCCGAGCCCACAGCAGGGAACAGCGCGGCAAGGACATGGAGTCCGCGGGCTCGGATTGAGCCGGGTAAAGCCCGGCGACTCGGCGACGGGCAGTGACGTATTAAGCAGAAGCCCGGGCTGCGGAAGGACCGAGAGCGAACTCAGGGCTGCCCGTGCATGTGCCTGTTCAACAAGGAAAAGAAAGAGTCGGAAGCTCGTTCTTCCAGGGGAGGAAGAACTCTGTAGGGAAAAATGGACCGAAACGACCTCCTGTCCTGTCTGTCGTTCTGCAGCAATTAGGAGGAGCTTTCTCCCAAGAAGGAAAGGTAATAGGTCATCTTTAGGGAGATTACAAGTGTGCGGAGGGGACCCGGACGGCGACGTCACGTGACCAAACTGATCTCCTCTTCCAGCCAGCGTCTGCCTGCACGTGGACCTCGGATGCTGAGGGCGGTACGTAGTTTTACAGTGTGAGTCCTGTAGAGGACGTTTTCTGGAAAATTGTTACATTAGTTTTAGCCATCATTTCCTAATACGGTAATGTTGGAGGTCAGAACTTGGTCTGTCACAGATCGAGAGGAGTTGCAGAGGAATTTGGTTGTACTACATTAAGTATGTCCTTTAATGACACGTGTAAAGTACAGCACTTGCCCCTTCGGGTAGTGCCAGGGATCGATCCCAGGACCTTGAGCGTGCTGGGCATGTGCTCTGCCATAGAACTACAGGACTTATATGTGAAGGAGCAACTTGTGTACTTCATCCTAGCAACTCCAGAGTCTCAGCCACAAGGCTTAAGTGTTTTGTGCATGGTTAAGATTAATTTCACTTGTGTTAGTGGATACTGTATTCTGATGAGACTGCAACATGTTAAATTCAAAACAAGCCGTCAGACGTTCCTCATCCCCCCCCCCCCATACTTTAAGATCTAGCAGCTTTTAAACATTTGACCACTTGTTTTGAATTTAACATGTTGCAGTCTCATCAGAATACAGTATTGGCCATTTGCCACCAGTGACCTCTCCAATTGGAAATTGCAAACAGCCAAATTCTTTGAGAAACCACAGGGCCTTATTGATCTGTTAGAATCTGTTCTTTTCACCCATCAGCCCACTTGGGAGGACATCAGCGGCTATTACAGGTTCTATTTACCACCGAGGAGTGGGACCAGATCCAAACTGAGGCTCAGAAGCTGGTCCCCCTGGTGGATGGGAATACCACCACCAACCAGGCACTGATCTATGAAGCTGTTGTGCCCAGTTCAAGAGACCCCCCAAAGACCACCAAGGAGCCAACTGATGCAAACACACAAGGACTCTGTCACTGACCTAGCGGATCTCAGAAGTGAGACCCCTTGCTTTGGAGACAGAGGTTTTTATAGGTTTATTTCAGCAAGTTCAGCAAGTAGGGGAGTAGGGGGGGTCTTCAGCCTGGCAAACATCTGATTGGTTGCAGCTCAGTGCCAAAACATAAACTGCTAGCTTCAGGAAATCTGAAAAGACATCTGGACTTTTAGTACTTTCCTGTCCCTGGTTAATTGACCATTGGTGGGGCAGTTGTTCTCTATACATTCCAAGTATTGTGATTTTTCTTGGACAGGGCTCAGGGCTGGGTCAGTCCCATGGAGGTTTTATTCAAGATAAGAGTCACTCAGGTCTCTCATTCCCTCCTCTGACTAGTACCTTAGGGGCCCAATCATGGGCGCTCCTTCATCTCATGTACTTCATCACCCAGACTCTGGAGGGACTGATACTGGGTTTGCATTGCTATTAGCTGTATATCTCCCAGATGCTCTTTTATAAAAGCTACCTCTGGGAGACAGGCTTGAGCCTAGGGTGAAAGTCTTATTGACAGCCATACAGCAGGCCCAAGGCAGCAGCCCAACCACTGGAGCCACAAGGAACGCCTTGTGATATTTGCTCCCATTGGCAGATCATGAGACTGATGCCCAGAGCTTGCCACTCCCTAATCATCACCCTTGAGATCCCAAATTGCAATACTTAAGACAGCCTGGGTCACATGATTCCCAGGAAACCAGCCCCTATAAGGAAACCAGAACCTAAGTAACCTGAAACCCATTACGCTAATGAGGTGTCTGACTCGCGATGTCATGATAGGACACAGCCCTGCCAAAGATCTGAGTTGTAGCTTTTTGATTGGACCCCCACCCTTATATAAGTTTGTGCCCTTCTACAATAAACCAGATCTGCGTCAATGAACCTGCTCTCCTGTGTCTGAATCCGGTTCCGCTAACACAGTCTCCTCACCAGCCCTGGGGTCCAGGACTGGGCAGAAGTAGCAACAATCGGAGGCAGCACTGGGCATGCAGAAGAGCGGCCTCAACGCTGGGTGAGCGGAAGAGCTGCCTCAGCGCTGAGCGAGTGGAAGAGCAACCACAGCTTGTGGCCACAGCCAGGAGTGAAGGGCAGTGCCCATGTGATCAGGAGCGGAGCGGTACCCAGAAGGCGAAGCCTATGTGATCGGAGGCAGCTCCTGTGCAATCAGAAGCAGCTCCCGTGCTATCGGAGGCAGCATCCAGGAGGCGGTGCCCATGCCCTCGCAGGAAGTGCCCGTGCGATTGCAGGCGGCGCCCACATGAGCAGAGGAGCAGTGCCTGGAGACAGCACCCAGCATCGGAAGAGTGGAGGGGCGGCCGCAGCTGGCAGTGGCCACAGCTACCTGCAGGGGGTTCGAGCCAGCGACTCTCCGCACAGTGATGATTGGGGATGAGTAAGCGTGCCGTTCGCCAGCCCATGCCGCCCCCAGTACCAGGAACACTCAGGCGCAATGGGGAGACTAGTCAAGCAGGGACTCATTTATTGCAGGTATTACAGAGCTTATAAAGGTACCTGGAAATCCCCCCTCCCCACCAAGGGTGTATCTTAAGGATGGTCACGCGCTGATCATGCACTCCTCAGCAGTGCAGAAGTGTCCTTCAGACTTTTAAAACAAGTTAGGCCATGCCCCAGTAACTTCTCGGACCTCTGCAAGGTGGGGCTTTTAGGTCCCCACATCTCCCCGTTTTATTTTTATTTTAAGGCTGGACTGACTTTATTTCATGGGTTACCCACCTCATAGATGGCTCCCTGAGGAGAGATGCCTATCTTCTTCCTCTGATCTTATGCATTTTTGCCTGTCTTAGGTTGTGTCACCTGTGACCAAGACTTACCCGTCATTGGATCATGCACCTGGCCATGTGCATGTCCTGTCTTAGGAGTACTTGTCATGGGACATCTTACCCGTTCTTGACTAAAAATGCATCATGATTAAGGGCAACTGCGTGGGTAATGCCAGTCTATCACATTCTTGGTCTCTGCCTAACTCTGTTAGCCAAGCATGGGCAACTGGAAGGGGTATATTCCTGGGGGAATCCATAATCATGAGGAGGTGGGCTGTGGCAGTTCCAGGGGTCCTCTGTTGCTGAATTATCAGTAAAGACACTTAAAGATAAGCATTATCAAGAGAAACAAAGCAAGACATGGCGTAGGACAAGATGAAATACTTCTGAGACCATGTACCTTTTAGCCAATCAGCCAGTTGTCAAAGAGGCTGACTAGCAATGAAGTCAAGGAACTGGGTCCTTCACCTCAGATGGATATAAATAAGGAGAGGAATTTTTTCTCATGAACTATTGTCCATGGACTGTCATGCTAGTTAGTCGGATCCTGGCCTACCCACTTAAGGTTTTTCACAGGCACCCATATGGGGTTTGAATCTCCTGTAGGATAGACACAGCCAAAGCCTCGACCCATGGTTAACAATGGATCTGGGCCTCTCCATTGCCCCATAATGGGATCCTTCCATCTTACCCATACCTCAGGTCTCTGCTCCTGTCATCCCCAGTGCTTCTAAAACCAGGATTCCAACTGATTTTTTTGAAAATTAAGAACATTAATAGTGAATAAGGCCATACCCAACTGTTGGTGGGGGCTTATTCCCCCTTTTTGTTTTTGTAATTGAATTTTTAGGTTTTGATGGTTGCGTTCTATAATGGCTTGACCTTGAGGATTGTAGGGAATTCCTGTATTGTGTTGAATTCTCCAAAGCAAAAAGAAATCTTGTAAATTTTTACTCACAAAACGTGTCCATTATCAGTTTTAATTCTTTGAGGCAGCCCCAATGTAGCAAAGCACTGGAGAAAATGAGACTGAGCATGTTTAGACTTCTCTCCTGTATGAGCGGTAGCCCACAGGCATGTGAGAATGTGTCGAGGGACACAAAAATATACTTAAGCTTTCCAAAAGGAGCATAGTGTGTGACA